TCGCATCCCAATCAGCTGACTTGTATCGCCACATCCTCCTAGTACTTCCCGTACTGAGATCGGGCGGGGAGTAGACAGATACAGATTTCACCAGACAGTGATCGGATGTCCCTAGTGGGGATGAGACCGATACTTGGTAGCGGTCTGGATCGGTTGTCAGCAGAAGATCCAGGCAATTGGCAGTGTGGTCGTCAACGTCCGGTACCCTGGTAGCGCAACTCACCAGCTGGGTGAGGTCTAGTGATAGAGCACATGCCCGCGCCTCTCTTCCAGCGTGGTCGGTTTTTTGGTATGGGAACAACCATTCCTGGTGATGGGCATTAAAGTCCCCCAAAAAGACAAGTTGTGCTGTAGGATACCGTTGTTGGACTGTTTCCGCCGAGCTGCAGAGATGGTTGAACAGCCTAGTCGTCTCCGGGTCTCCAGAATGCGACCGATACACACTGGCGTAGACAATTTGTTCCAGTCCAGTGTCTACCAGAACCCACATTACAGAGAGATCGGGGTCTTCAAGGTCACGGAGACGTTTAGAGCAGATGTCATCACGAGCGTAAACGCAGGTACCAGCGCGCTGCTTAAATTTGTGCTCCAGAATGTAACCTGGGTACGCCGATACGCCGTGTCCGAAGGACATCTAATTTGGGTCTCCGTGAGGAAGAGCATGTGAGGCCTTTCAGTCTCAAGATGGTGGTGGACAGATGAGAGATTGGAGTGCAGACCTCGGATGTTCGAGAGGTGCACTTTAAGTGAAAGGACGTGCATCCGCTCTTTAGCCTTCCTCAATTTTCTTGACCTTTTCATATTAGGGTTAGAGTGAATGGGGAGAGCGAAGGCAGTTGTACGAGACACTACTACTGAAAGTCATGCGGCACATACCCTATATGGTACGCCGATGGGAAACTAGACTGGAGCGCGCGGGGACGCCCGAACCCCCCCGGGAGTGGCCATCGGGTCCTTTCATCCGGTCGCCAACCGGCACGATGGAGCACCCCGGGATTTTTCGCGAGTTGGCGGGGCAGCCTTTCACTGGAGGCTAATCAGCTAATTGGGCCCCCTACTACCTGCGGTCGGCCAGCGGAGCACCGTGCTTCGGATCCCGCTACCCTCCGCGTCCAGGTTCCCAGCGCAACAACAAGGGAGCCCCGAGATCAACCAAATCAGTGCAGTGCAACTGTACAGACCCTTCACTCTAGAGCGGCTACTCTGGGCGTCAAGCCGGAACACAGCTATAGCTGTTTGGCGGCTAGGCTTCGCCCAGAGGGTGGTCACCAGCCACGAGTGGCACTGCAAACGTTATGTATAGGCGTGTCGCTTACAATCAGGCGCACGACTTGCGGCGTTACTTGATATCATAAAAAAATATTTATTAACTATTTTATAAGAAATCAAAATGTACCAATAGAGCTGTAGTAAATTTAAAATTAGGCTTTAAAATTATTGTTTGTTATTGTTGAATTATTATAGATTAATACAAAATATTCAAATTATTCGGACACATGTTCGACATAGTGTTCGTAATTACGAAAAGTCTTAGACTGAAAGTCCTAATTACACTGAAATTACGAGAAGTTTTAAAAGTACTTGACTATGTTTTTTCATTTAGTCGCACCTACAATATACAACGTGGCAAAATTCTTGGTTGAAATTAGTATCGTCATTTTCGTTAGCGATCAAATTTGAAATTTATGGAAATATTACTTTGAATAGCCCAACCTCTGGCCGAGTGTAGGTACTAAAATAACACAGAATACACACAAACTTATCTGGATAGTTTCGATTGTAATTTTACTGTTTCAATTATAATAATATGTGACCTCTTATTTTTAAGCTTACTAGGCTACACAATTTTAGATGCCTATGGGTACATGAAGTTAAAAGAAAATTAAAGCAGGATGTAACATGACATAAGATGACACAGAATCGTTACTTGTCCTATAAAATAAAGGACTCTCTACAAATAATATAATAATAATAATAGAGGGAGAGGCGAGAGTTTAAAATAAACATAATAATAGTAACGTTTATTTCATCTTCCACAAAATACATATTATAGCTAGGAACAGTTTACACGTTAGAATTTGGTAAGGATAATTTTGTGGGAGACTGATGCCTAAATTCTGCAAAAAAATATATTTTATTGTGAAATGTTAAAAATAAATTATATTATTATTAATTCGCACTCATATTCACAAACACACACAGTCATACACACAGACACGCACACACGCACACATATGGTATTTATTGCCCTTCTATCATTTTTATGTTTGTTTTATTATTATTTAAATTCATCATATTTCTTTTGTAAGCATCATTTAATAATATAGAATAATATATATAAAATAAGTCCTTATGTAAAAACTTTCTGTACTGTTAACCACGACACAGCATAGCCTAGTGTAGTTACCTATGTACATATGTATCACAATATTTTGTTTTGGACAGTTAAATAAATGTTTTTGTATTTTTTTTGTCTTTTTATTGTATCTCACCAGCATACTTAAAAACTTCTTAACTTATTGCGTTAGTTTTTTACAATAGGTAGTTAGAATTTGTTGAGTTGTGCGAAGAATGTATATTTGGTTTGCGTAATACGTATATGTTTACATAAATCTCCATAATATATATATAGCATTTATATATATTCTTTATAGCACCAAATAAATACAAGAGAAATATTGGTATAACAGAAGGTGAGTAAATTTATTATTTTATTCATTTATTTAATCATTTCCTACAGGCCGCATGACCCATATAATATATGCCTTAAAAACTAACATACATACAATATAATATAACAATATAATATATAATAAACTGAATAACTAATCTACATGAATTGCACTTGTCGGTGACGTGTGGCGCAATTTGGTGTCAGGTAAACGGCCGCGGAATCCCCGATGTATTGTAACACCCTTTAGCCAAAAAAACCTCCTTCATGTAAGTCGACAGATGGTCGGTCGGTACTCTCATCACAAACGAATTAAAATTCACGTTGTGGCGGAAGTCCAGTCGCTCAACCCCCAGGTATTATTCCTAATCTTATTGACACTATAACCCAGTGACAGAGGAACCTTTTTCTGTTTTTTACAGGTTACCTTATGTAATAGACAAACTTACACAAAGTTAGTAAACACTTTTTCGCTGCTGCAGCGCGGCTAACAGCGGTTAATTTGAACGTGCCCCAACATACGAATTAAGATGACGGACCAGTTTGTTATTCTGGGTATCGACGACTTGAGAAGACTTAGAGTCGTATTTTAGAACTCTACTCAATGCTCAAAGCAGGATTGCACTGGAAATACGACCCTAATGACAGGGACTTGAGTATGATTTCGAGTGCTTTAAACCATACTCAAACCCTGACTTGAGCATTGAGTAGAGTTCTAGAATACGACCCTTAGAGAGTTAACGTAAACAACAAGGAAAACCGAGTATAATATAATTATGTATAAAATCACCAAAACTCGTTCTTCAATGTTTCTATGTATTAGAAATGTATAATTCATTAATTGAATTATAATTTAATTCTCAATTAAAACTGTAAAACAATACTTATTGCAGTGATTTACTGATTACCTACAAAAACTCTTCAAAGATGTTAATCGGTGTTAATAGAGCACAATTCAGCATAACTTTGAAATTTATATAATTGCTCATCTCAACCTACGGTGCACAAACATGGTCTATGACCGAGTTCCAGAAGTCTAAACTCAAGATCTGCCACAGAACGATGAAACGCAGCACTCTAAAAGGTATTGACCACGGAAGAAAGTATTTATGTGATCTGTGGTATTAAGCGAGTGCGCAATGTTGCGTTCCATGACTGGAATTGCTGATGTGGGGAGTAAAGCAGCCAGGCTGAAATGGGATTGGTCGGGCCAAGTTAGCCGCATGTAACCCGACAAATGGGTGAACGTCGTTACTCCTTGGGTGCCTGAGCTTGGAAGGCGATGGCCAAGAAGGCGTTCTTGATGTTTTTTGAGAAGGAGTGGTGGGAAATCGCCAAAGGGAGCAGTAGAGGATTTTGTGGGAGCCCTTTGCCCAGCAATGAGACATAATAGATTAATAAAATATATATATATTACTTACTTACTTACTTACTTATTATATTACATATTCTTAAATTAGGAGTGTGAGCTAGCCTTTTTTGTGACGGGACAAGTAAGCCATGCGCCTAGTGATAATCAACACGCCTTACCATAGAAGTTGCAGTGCCACTTAGAGTTTTAAGTCACAAAGATCTGAAGCGCACTGCCACTGCGCCCGTCACCCTGAGACATGTGCATGTATTTCACCAGCACCTTTACCCAACGCAGTAATGCTTACATTACTACATGGCGACAGAAATAGGTAAGGTGGCAGTACATCCTTGGACGAATACTTTCACAAGGAGCTCTATTGCTACTTACACAAATTGAAAAATAAGGGTCCCTCCTAATATATACATATATGTATATTTTCTCATGCATGAAGTGTGATTACACGGTGAATTTATTTACATACAAACACAACTATAATACAAGAATGTATATACAGGTGAATAAATAAGTAACGCCAGGTTAATAACTTTATAATATCTTCGAAACTTCTTTTAACCATTCTATAACAAAACGGGTTTCATGGCGATGTTTACCTACAAATTATAAGTTCTATCTAATCTAATATAAAATATAAAATCTAAGTAATATCTGTTCGGACCTTAAAACTAAAACTGCTTACTGATTTTAAAATACCATCAGAGCCATTAAAACGCAACGTAGATACCCTTGACTGTCTACCTGTAAATAAGTGTAATTGTAATGGAAATTATAAGGCTAACAATAAGTACCAAGTCAACATTATACCAACCTTGATGTCGTCTTACTGTGACAGTAACTATTTTATTACAACGATAGCGTGCGCATTGCTGGAGACGGCGTGAAAATACTTTAAAATAATTATCAATGAAGATGCTCACACGCAGGAAAATGTTGCACGGAGGCCAAATTACACTACACCCCAGTATCGCTCAAACTGCCGCCTCGAGTGGACACTGTGTCCGCTCTCACAAAATTACCGTCGTGATCATAACGCGAACCGCCATAAAAATGGTGAGTGCATTTGTAATTGAATAAATACTTCGTGCTTTATTTTTCATGTGCCGTGACTTTGTATGTAGACGTCATTGTAATGCATTGGTATTTGTGCTACGTATTTCTGGTCTTTAAATGCAACGACCACGTGTTCAAATGCACGGAAATTTTAAAATAATGAAAATACTCATTTTGTAGACGTATTTTAATTTAAAGTCGTGCTGTCATTTAGGTATAAAGGTGTTAATATTTTTATTCAATAACTTTTCAATCCCATAAACGTGCATCAATTTTCAAATAAGAACGAATTAAGAAATTTGTAAGCGAAGTTTAAAACACTAATATTATATTTATATAAACTAATGTTACGTTAGATAACTTAGTAGTCTACTAACAAACTACTTCTGTGAAAAGATGATATGCATACATACACAAGTTTTAAGTGCAATACCTTTACAATATCTACTACATTATACTTATAACTTACCATTCGCATTTAATCAACTCGTTATAATAACAAACAGCATTTTGCGAAGATCATCATTATAATTTTTTGCTCTGAACTGAAGCCACCAATATTATGTAAGAAAAACAAGTCTATAGTAAACAATAAATGTGCCATATAAAAAACTATACCAACTGTAGTATAAAGTGATATTAAAATTTGTTGTTTCTATATATGGTGCCAATACAGGTGTACTCATTTATATAAAAAAGGTAAAATAATATGTCCTACTACTCACATATTGCAAGATTTTTCTGAATTACGAAACAATACAAATTTTTCGTACACAATCCCAATGAATTAGTCATTATAGTAAATATCTTGAAGTAATACTTATTTATTTTACAAATATACAATATAGGCTGAAGTCTTTAATTTCACAGTATGTAAATTTACATGGGCAGTTCAGACAGTAGTCTACTATTGATGTCCAATATTGATCACATACCTTATAACAGTAATACCAGACAACCACATCTAGTTTGAAACTAGGAAATTGCCTGTATTTTCAATATCTTCCAAAGCAACAAAATTAAATTCGGGGAGATGTTCCGGTACTCCGAACACCTAAATTGGTTTTACCGGGAATCGAACCCGGGACCTTATCTAGCGCTCACAGTGCTAACCGCTGGGTCATCAAGGCCGCCGTTGAATTACTCCGTAGAACGTAAATAACTTCTGCACTTGGTTAGTTTTCTGATAAATACCTAATTCGTAGTTTCCTGGACTTTTTACGTATAGGATGAGGAGGAGAAACGAAAGTTCATGAAATTCGTTCCAAAGAGTTTACAATAAAAATATTTGCGATGTAATAACCGTATCACAATTTGCCTTACAAAATATTTTGTAAAAACACGTATATATATAGAATTTTTCCGGTAATTACAATAAATTACATACTATGCTGTGTATGTATAGCGAATTAGATACACAGTTTAAAACGTGTCCATTATAACATACAACTAAAAAACTTTATGGGTAATTATGCCTGTATGTCAATCGTACTTACATAGAATACAAAATATAAAGGCACATTATTTATCCAACCGGAACATAACATATATAATTATATTAAATAATGAAATATATATTAGACAACATCACATACGTTGCTCTGATCCCAAATAAATATCTGAATCGAAAAAGATCTGAATAGGTTGTGTTATGGAAATCGGAAACAACGACGTTACCACAAACACCCAGACTCGAGACAACATAGAAAAGTTAGTTTCTGCACTGACCCGACCGGGAATCGAACCCGATGGCGACATTATGGAAACTGGTGTGCAAGCCACTCAACCACGGATGCCATCAAAATATATATAGCACACACGACAATAAAATATATTTTAGTTTTCAGCATATCGCACCCCTCATGGAAGAATGATTTAAGTAGGGTTAAGTCAAACATGTTTAGTGCTCCAGATACAGAAAAATATAATCCACATCGTCTCCAATTCTTGTAATTTTATCGCCTAATATAAATCATACTCAAGTAGGGTCATATTTCCAGTGCTTGAAATCATACTCAAGTCCTTGCCATTAGGGTCGTATTTCCAGTGCTTGACATCATACTCAAGTCTGCTCAAATCCTAACTTGAGCATTGAGTAGAGTTCTGGAATACGACACTTTTAGTCCGAATTAACCTCAACTAAAATGGTCACGTAATTGTCGTATTTGAATATGAGATTTAATCTTTTTGGTCATTATTATGATAAAAATCGAAATTATCATATTATGAAGCGCCTGATTATTTATTAATCGTTATTACTTCGCATTACGATAGAATGTCCTGATTAAAACAATAGCAAAATCGAAATCGGTATACATAATTTGAATTAAACCTAGAGAAGAACTAAACTTTATACAATTTACAGATAAATGACATCACAGGCAAAGATGGGAAATGATATCAATTACTTTTCTTCTTCTTCCAGTCCTTATCCCACGGTAGGTGGGACATATCTTTTACGTCTGATAAAAGAAATAGGATTTATTAATAAATAGACTTACATCAGTCGTGACCATGGGACAAGTCTCGAAACGTTGGTTTGTTTAAAAAACAAATATACCCGATTTAGACAATAGTTTCTTTTCCTATGTGTAACAATCGCGAAAACCTAATAAGTCGATAGAACTTGTTTGCATATATGCAAGTTGTTTCATTAGCTAATAGTCGTTTGAAATTGCAAAATTTTTTGAAATATCACGTTTTTTATTTGAAGGTCATCCATCACTACCTTTCGAAATACATAAGCGTATATCAATTTTGTGATTGATAGGCAATGTATAACAGTGTGACAGATGCAAGCGAACATTTACGTGTACCCTAGATAAATAGCAAGTTGTCATTGTAATAATAAATTAACTTTCGATATCTCATGAACTAATTTCTACCGTATGAAATGTCTTGACCACGATGAATACAAAGCCAGTAAGAGATTGCAACCAATATATATGTATACGTTAATCGAGCCACTACGTCAAAACGTTTCCCCTATTAGGTACGCCGAGGTGGCAGTGTACGAGTATCCTGGGGCGTGAGCAAATGTCATACACAATCATCGTGCTACCTACTTGTACAGTTAATATGCTGAAGATCCGTTTCCTCGTAAATGTTAACATAATGGGGAAATATGATTTGTAACGTTATTTAATACGACTCAGCATAACATGTCTCGCGGTAAATTTTATGCACGGCCAACATTAAGCGAGAGTGAACTAATAGGCAAAGAAAAAATGAGATGTTTCCATTTACGACGTTTGCAGTCAAAATATTTATACCCAGCGAAAGTAACTGTGTGTACAATTTTTCTGTCTCTTTACAGATCTTAATTACAAACTCACAAGCTACACATTCACATTCACATAAATATACATAAGTATTTTTATTATAATCCCACATCATACAATTATCCGCTAAGACTTGATAAAACATCGTTATTTATGACATTGTTGTTATCTTATTATTACGAATAATAAAACTGATAAATATTATTGGAATAAATACATAGTTTTTGACAAATTGCAACTATTCACAAAAAATACAAACAAATGTTCAAAACTTGTTTGAATGAGTCTTCTTATTTGGTAACCATTATTTTTTTTATTATTCTTTTTTTTCCCTCGTTTTTTCATTGCAACATATAAGCGATGATGATAATGGGTACGGATTAAACGACGAAGTCGTAAAAACAAATAAAAAGTTCTGCTAGGTTGTCCACTTATTAGGTACTCAAACTTGTATAGCAACAATTTAATTCACACTACTACTAGAGTTCGTAGTGCGCAACATGTTACCGTCATAGTGTAGCAAAAAACTCTGGTACTCGACATTATCGACCTCGGTGGCCCAGCGGTTAGCACTGTAGACGCTTGAAGAGGTCCCGAATTCGAATCTAGAGGGACCAACTTTGGAAACCAACCTTACCGAGTTACTTCTGGTCTAGGTATTCTCAGCAGTATCACGAAGTTACTACCAAGTTATTTCGTTGCTTTGGTACTCATAGTACCAATAATTCTCTAAGTCGACAACTTGAATTTAGTGTGGTTGTTTGACAAATTATTATGTTATTATTATCTCTATAAACCTAAACTAATAAACTAGAATTAATTTGACACAAGACCAAGGATTATCCAACAAAATGCATTATGTAACATTACGATTAACTTATTATGTACTTGTATATTTTTACTACAAAATGACATTGACGTTTCGACAATTATGAGATAGTCATATTGCAGAAAAAAGCACAAAGTTGACCTACTCTTGTTTCAAACGACTTAATCGGTCCCCCTAGTTATACAACTAGGGTGACAGTGATATATGATATAATAATACACACCTACTAAGTACATCTATCAAAATAGTTTACAGACGAATACCGCAGGCAGATGTCTATAGAACCGCTACATTTAACCATGCTACGGGGCTGTATTGCCTATAATCTCACCTGATGATAAGATGATAAGTGATAACGTAATCGAGTCTATTCACTCTCAGCTTAAAAGGCCAATGGGCCAATTTAAAAACATTATAGGAAAATTAATTCGTAATCAGATACTTTAAAAAAACCGGTCAAATCTTGTTTTTCCCAACACCCAATCCTAAAGGACAATAGGTCAACTCAGACGTGTAGGATTTAATAAATTGACATTACACTCAATTCCTCACAATGGGTCCACTTACTTAAAAACAATGATGCCTTGGTTTTTATCGAGCATTCAATCATCATGTTCACGGTCATCGGTCACCTTGTAGAGTTACAATTTGGCATACAGGTTTAACGAGTTTAAGGTTATAATCTCTCGTAGACGGCATTACAATCTCATTATGAGAACTAAGATTTCAATCACTGTACGTTACGGTGGTGCTGTTTGATAACGTTTCATGTAGTAGTGTTGTGTCGATATATGAATTTATTATTATTATCGATTCGAATCTTTATTATTTGTAATAATGTGAAGTACTTATTATGAAAGCGCAGTGTAGAGCCCGAGTTAGCGTAAAAA